AGCACGTCGATGAGCAGCTCTCATGTGCTAGGCACGCCTTAATACTTCTATGCGCCACATGGCTTAACAGGTGGGAACTGCCGTTACGCTCCCTTTATAAAAAGAGAAAAGCTGAAGCTTAAGGATCCTGACTTTGCTCAAGGTCACACGGTCAGCTAGGAAGGGGCAGCCAGGACTCCGACCCATACAGCTGCCTTCAGCACGTCAAGCTGCGTCTCCAGGAAGAGCTGGTGCTTGCTGGGACAGGAGCTTCTTCTGGCCACTGGGAATTCTGTACTTATCCAGTGCCATCTCGTTCTGTGGAGCTGAGTGGGAGGGAGGAAGGTAGGGAGGGATTCCCCAAATGCCAGGCGGGATCTTGGCAGAGCCAGTACTGGAAGTCAGATGGAGGGTCAAGCCACTCAACCCAAGGTACAGTAGCCTCACCTCTCCCCCGCCCCCAAAACACAGCAGAGGATCACATTGACGATGAACTGCTATTCATCAGCCTCCATTTGCCAGTCTGTCACTACCCCATAAACCACTATGGGGGTTGGTGACTCTCTCCCCAAGAAGCCACCTGGCTCTCTGGAGGCTGTCCTGCCCAGGATACCCCCTCCCCAGGGTGGGAGCGCTGCCGCTACCTTCTGGGACAGTAACTGAACCCTGATCCCCCTGCCTCCAGGTGAAGGGCAAGGTCGACGCCTGCTTTTCCAGCCCGGGATTTACTTCGACAACTCTGAGACCTGGGCTATGGGACGTGTCTCCTGAGGCTGCCGAAGCAGCACCTGCACAGGCCTTCGTTCAGTCTTGTTGCCGGCAGCACCTCACCTCCACGCCCACGGGTCCTGGTGAACCTTTTGCCGCTCTGGGTCCCCTCCTCCTCCTCCTAATGCTTTCTGCACCTCTGCTCCCCACACCGGGGCGCCCACAGAGATGCGCTGCTGAGGTGGGCGCCTCCTCCATGCCCTTCTCTCCTCCTCCTCCCCCAGTCTCACCGCCAACTCCTATGCACAGGATCTGCCCCCCCCCTCGTCTCCGCTCCCCTCTACGCACACACACGGCCTTTTACGTCAGTCCTGGCACAGCCTGGTCAGACCGGAACCAAGCCGACCACAAGAGATCCTCCATCTAGCGTCTGCCTCCAACTCCTCTGGCTTCCCGAAATGCTGGGAACCAACCAGCCTCGTCCTCAGCTCTGTCTCAAGCACCCCTCCCCCAGTCCTCTCTCCCCAGCCCTTCTTCTATGGACACTGGGATAGACCAAGGTTTATGCCCCAACCCCAAATGCTCATGTTGAATCCCTAACCCCAAAGCAATAGCATCTGAAGATGCAACCTTTAGAAGGTCACATGGGTCGGGTGGGTGGGGCCCCGGTCTGCTGAGATTAGCAGCCTTCGGAGAAGGGACACCGGACCCCTCCCTGCTCTCGCTCTCCCCTCCACTTGGACTCGAGGAAGGTGCCAGTGCGCAAGCCAGGAAGACAGTTCCCACCAGAACCCAAACTCTGCAGCCCTGTCCTCGGACTTCCAGCCTCTGGAAGGGAGAGCAAATGCACCGTTTCTGTTGTTTACGCACCCGGTCCATGGTGTTTCCCACCGCGGCCCAAGCTAAGACACAGCCACCCGGCGGGCGTTCCAAAGACATATCTGAAAAGTGGAAAACCAAAGGAGGAAAAGCAAGCCACCCCCCATGACAACAGTCTCTCTGCTTCTATTTGAACACGGGGACAGAGGACAAAGATGCACATGAACGAGGTGACACAGTGGAGGACGGACCACTGACTCCATCTCAGATGTGGGGGCAGAGGCAGCGTAAGAATGGGGGAAGCCAGGCCCACCCAGGCAAGAGTGAAGATATAAAACACCACCAGTCAAAGAACAAATTCTTTTTAGCAGCAAGTGCTACAAGGCTCCAGCCCCCAAAATCCTCAAAAGATAAAAAAAAAAATGAGAACCAGACAATGGTTTCCTGAAGACAAGAAACAGTGTTCGGCAAGATGTTGACTTCTTCACTCTTCCTCTCCAGGTTTGATTGGCGGATGGTTTCCCCAGCACCTCCCGAGTAAGGGGGCAGGGAAGGAATGAGAGCGAAAGCTGGGGTCTGAGCATGGATGTGTGTAGCCCTTGGTGGGTGTTGACTTGTTTAATTCTAACAACACTGTGCAGTGGATTCAATTACCACCCACCTCTTCCGTAAAGGAGGCCCATACTGGAAAAGCAAACAAGAATTTCGCCTTTCACATCTTACTTGGGGGAGGTGAACCAGCCATAGAACAATGGCTAGAGCTCTTCCCTGCAAATAGACAGAGACTACTTGTGGGTTGGACGTCCAGGGAAGGCCTGGGGACACTGCAGTGGCGAGGAGGAGCCTGCCATGGAGGATCTGGGGTGGGGGGGCAGGTAAGCAAGTTTCCCAGAAGCTCCAAAAATTGGCCACAGAATGCACCCATCACTGGTTCTGATTTCGAGAGCTGGGGCCAGGGCCGGGCATCGGTGTTTGTCACCTACAGGCCTGGTTTGAGCTGCCACTGTCTTCAAACACTCCAGGCGCCACCACCAAGAGATGTGTGGGAAACTCCTTGGTTCCCCTACAGACTGAAGGTTTGCGCCTCCCCAAAATTCCTGTGTTGAAGCCCCTACTGGGATGGTAGTCGGAGGTGGGACCTCAGGGAGGTCATTAGGTTTAGATGAGGTCATTAGATGGGTGGGGGGCCCCTGTGATGGGATCAGTGCCCTTCTGAGCCAGGGAGGAGGCACCAGAGCGCATGCCCTCTCCCCACCACATGAGCTGCTTGATACCAAGGGCTGCCTCTCACCCTTGCTCGTGCTCCCCACTGGCTGCCCCCCAGGGCTGGACACACACAGCAGGTGTGTCCACATGCCTGTGAAACAGGATGGAGGCTGGGGTTCTCCCAGCCCAGAGACCAGGGGCTGGGAGGGAAGCCAGGCCTCAGCCCACATGGGCTGGCGGGACAGCTGGGGCACATGCGGTGGGGTTGGGGGGCAGATGCAGTGTGTGGAGGGGGTGCACTGGAGCCAGAACACCAGGGATCCTCCTGCCAGTCACGAGAGCTTAGAAGTCACCAAACTTCTGAGCCTCGTCTTCCTCCCCTTTGCAGAAACACTGTAAGAATGAAAGTACCTAATATTCACTACATTCATTCCATCATTCGGCCAACATTTACCGAGTCCCTTCTATGCGCAGGGCCGACTCCTGACACAGTCGCCACAAAGCGTAACGCAGATGTTAACCACTGCTCTGGAGATTGCCTTCCCTCTTCCTCCCCTTGGGGGGGCAAGTCCAGGTCTCCCTCCAACAGGACCGCGTGCTGTGCAGCGGGAGGAGTCATTTGTGGTCGGAGCGCACTCTGAAGGTGCAGGAAACAGCAGGGCACGCGAGACTCTGAGAAATGGGCCTGCCTGAGCCGGCGTGCCCAGACTCGATGCGACAAGTCACGAGAGGCGGGCACAGCCAGCCCAAGGCCAGGGTGCCAGTGAGCTAGAAACCAGTCAAAAATGCTGAACCCCAATTCTCCTGCCAGACCAGCTCAGTGCTCCCCACATGGATGGTGCTAACTTAGCATCTCAGGTTGCTAGAGCGATAGGACGGCCTGGCCCGTGTTCGGGAGTCAGTCCGGCACCTGCACCACCTCCATTCCACCTGACAGAAGGTGTGCTGCAGACAGTTAGGTGATGGGACCACACGGCTACTGCTGCATCACCGGGGCAAGTGAGAGTGCAAAGTTCAAAGGGATTCCCAGCTGCTTCTCTGCAAGCTGCACTCACCTGTGCTCCATGCCCACACGTACTTTTCGGAAGGATCTGAGACAAGGGAAGTGGACGGTGTGGAAAGCAGGCTTTGAGGGGAGGCCCTGGACACGCGGAACCAAAGGCTTCGGTCACACAGGCCCAGGCTCCGATGCCGGCTTCCCCACTCACATGTTCTGTGACTGTGAGCAACTCATGTGTCTTTCCCCAGTGTCTCCTGACCAGCAAAATGCAGCCATGCGACGCCTCCATCCACCCCTGCGCCTCTGCCCTCCTGCTCCATCTCCTCTTACACACGGCCCCGCGCTGGGCCTTGCCACCAGCTTCTCCCAACCCCGGAGCCAGCAAGAAAGCAGAGACCTGGAAAGGTTGTGTGATTCACCCAACAACGCAGAGGAAAAGCCAAGGGGGACCCACCCACAACACGACCTCGTAGTTCCCAAAGGGCTTCCAAACACATCGCCCCACTGGGTCCTTCCCACAAAGACCACCAAGTGCTGGCACCAGAGATCAAGTCCAGGCTGCCCCGCCCGAGGTCTGGGCGGTTTCCATTCACCTCCATGCCTGCCAGGGGCATAATCTCTTCTCCAGAGAATCATCGTCCCCTGTTTTAGCAAACCCTGCCTGTGGCAGGATGACAGACAGGGTGTCCTCTCTGGGTCCCCAGAGCCTCTGACCGCTCCCCACCCCTTTGCAGAAGTCTTAGAAGGAGCACCAGAACTGACTGCCAAGGTGAGTGGAATTCATCTCCCCAAGCTGGGGCAACACCCCAGGAACTCCCATTCCAGCGGAGGGGCCCAGCACCCCAGGGTCCCACCCCTGTAGTTGCCCTGGCATTATCTGACCTACTGACAGGTCACCCCCAAGTGCCACTGGCCAGAGCAGCGGGGTGTGCTGCCCCCCAGAGCTCTAGCAAATGGGTGCAGTGAGCGAAAGGGAAGGAAAAAGACACTCAGGCCGACGAAATGGAGTGAGCGGGAAACACGGAGCTCAGGAGCACTGAGACGGACAAAAATGTAAAACTCTTGAACATGACCCTTTTGGTTGTTGGATTAAGAAAGTACTCGAGTTGCTTAGCAGCATAACTGATTAACATGTGTACATTACCTTGAAATGCTTTATGGCTACCCTTGCACCTACATTCATAAAACATTTTCCCCAACTCTGGCTGTAACCCCATCCCCAGGCCCAGACAATTCCCCGGGGTGGGGGTGGGGTGGGGAGGAAGAGGGCGGCGAATCTGTTTCTCACCAGGGTCTGTGCAGTTCTTGGCTGTCTGCGTCCCGTTCACCGGCGCCATCAGTTTTCTGTTTTTCCACGTGTCTGGTAGATGTCTGCTTGCAGAAGCAGGTCTGTGCCCTGGATTGGAAATCAAGTCCCAGACACCACTGAGTCAAGGTGGTGCCTGTGTTCTCACAACGACCTTACTTAGCTGTGTCAAGTTCTCACAACGACCTTACTTAGCTGCGTCAACCGCAGTCGCAGCCCCCTTTGATGAGTTGGAGCCACCTCCGGGGAGTGAGACAATGGCTGGAAGCACAATAAATACCACCCATGGCAACGTTTCCTAGCTCTAGTTCATTGTGTCCAGTCCCAGGTGGGTCAGCATGTGAGCTGACCTTGGTCACCATCTCCCAGTCCCTAGCCCCTCACAGGTGCAACAAAAGGCTCAGCTAAGTGGCCATTAGGTTCTCGTCCAGTAAAGATGCTCAGGTGTGCCCGCTCTGGAGGACCTACAGATAAATAGTAAGCCAGCTAGCAGGGCAAGAAGACCAGTGGGGTCTCGCCCTTAAATGTGCACATGAATGATGTGGGGACCGTGTTAAAATGCACACTGTGATTCAGTAGGTCTAGGCTGGGACATGGCACTCGTCACTAACAAGCTCCCAGGTGGTGCTGAGCCCACTGGTAACCCAGGGCCAAACTGAGGCACAGGGGTGATTGCGGGGACGGAATAGACTTAAACTCCAAAAGGCCATTCCCAGCAAACGCAGGTGATTCTCACTGTGAAAGTATTCATTTACCTCTCCCAATGCGTAAGCTTTTTCAACTGGGTAATAACACTTCTATAATGCTGACATCTAAGAGCCTGTAGGTATTTTGTTATTTCTGGTGTGTAATTGAGGGGAAAAAGAACATGATGACTCGCCCAACTGCAAAACACCAGGTATTAAGACGTTCACGTAACCATTATGGTTTTCTGTTGGAAACAGCCGCAGTTTTTAACCTTACATCCTCAATCACAAAGTTTGGATTTTGAAAGGCAGTATTTTAAAAGAGTAATCACGTTCCATCTAATTTTTACCTATTTCTCACTTACAAACCTCTCTAAACTGTCCCTTCTACCTGCTCAGGAAGGCACTGCTGCTTTATCTCCATGTCTAAGATGCTAAATCACCAGCATTTCTTTCATTCTTTTTAAAGTGTGAAAAACAAAAGCAGAGGGCCCACAGCATCCCATTAAAAAAGGCAGTGTTAGCCAAGTGAACGTTTTCCGAAGATTCCACGTGGGCTCACATTCCGCCCCCCCACAGTCCCCCTCCCCACTAGACATTCTTGGTAAGTTTCTCCTTCTCTCCACCTCAGATTTGCATATTCTCGGGGACTTTCAAACCCCTGGGGCTCTTCTAGGGTGAAGGAGTGTGGATCCTGCCCCAGACACCAGTGCTCTCGCACCCTCGGGATTCAGAGGAGTTGACAGCGTGATGCTGAAACAAAGCAGCAACCTTCCCGAGAGGACATACCGCCCCAGCGTTTCCAGGGTCTGACGAGGACGCTTCTGGACAGCGGTGGAGGTGAGAGGAGGGCGGAGACGAAATTCACAGCTTCTGAATACGGGTTTTGAAGGGGCGCGGCGCACAACCCTCTTCGCTGCGAATAGGAGAGCGGACCATTTGGTTTCATCCGCCCCACATCTAGAGAATCCTTATCTGGACCCCCGCTGCGCTGCCCCTCCCCGGCGCACTCCAGAGACACAACTGTGGCACCAAGGGGCCAGAGGTTCTGGTCTTCGTCTTGGTAACACAGCCCTACAACCGTGTCCTGAGACCCCAGAGGCCTCGCGCGCGTCTCAGGGGAACGCGCGCCACAGCTCGGAGCGTCGACATCTGCCCTCCCAGGTGTGCTCCACCTGCCCGGCTAACCCTTGGGACCCACCTGACGGGGAAGAACAGGAAGACATCTTGGAGCTGCCCCGCGGCTTCTCAGCCCAAACCCCCCAACTCCTGGGGCGGCCGGCACCTACCCAAGCTGCCAAAGAGGCCGGACGCACAGCACACCAGAGCCAGCACAGCACACATGAAGCCAACTTGCTGCGGCAGCATCTCTCGCCTCCCGCGAACTTTGTGTGGCCGGAGAAGACCTGGGAGCGCCATCCCGGAGCGCCTGGGTGCCGTCGCTGGGTGAAGACAGGGAACCTCAGAGGCCGAGCGCTGTCTGTGGGTAAGCGGCGCTACGGCTGGAGCAAACAACACGCCGCTCAGAGGCCGGAGTCTCCGGACCAAAGCTTCATGACCCTCGGGGAAGGTCGGCGGGGAAGCGCGGAGAGGGGAAGTGTGGGCGCGCGGCGAGGCCGTGGCTCAGAGTCCCGCTCCTAGCGTGCGCGCACCGCGCACCACGGCTCTGTGGCGAGGAGGCGACGCCGGCACGGTGGCGCTGGCGTCCCTGGCTTGCAGATCTGGCGCAGTCTTCGCGCTGGAGCCGCTACCTGGTCGCTCAGGCTCGGCGGGCTCGTGCGGCCGCAGCCGTGGCTGCCTTGCCCGGGGCCGACCGCGGGGAGCACTCAGTGCGCCCCCGCGCCCCGCACCGTCGCTCCCACTCGCAGCATCCTCCTCCTCCAAGTTTGGCGGCGGCAGCGGGCCAGCCACGCTCCCTAGCTTCGCGACCAGCGGAGCCGGGGCGGCCCCGATGCGCGCAGGGGTAAGGCAGGCTGGACACACTGGGCCTGCGATCCTCGCCACGATAGCCTCAACGTCGGCCCTCCGGGGGCGAGCTCTCCACGGGAACTTTCTCTCTGGCTGCTGGTGCCTGCGTCTGCGAGGCCGTGGCGCCTCCCGCCTGCAGCTCACGCCTCCCTTCTCCTCCTCCCGCCCTCCCGCCCGCCTCTCACCGTCCGAGGCGCACGTGTACTCCTCCTCTAAGACGCACTCGCCCGTGCGCTCCTCCCTCCCCCCCGGGAGGCTCAACTACTGCCCAATATAATCGCCCTCCTCTTTTTCCCTCTCTCTCCGCCCCTGTGGAGCCCAACCGAGCCCTCCCTTCCTCTAGAGCCCTCTCCGGCTGCGGCAGAGAGGAACAGGTTATGGCTCCTCGGGGACCCTGGGAACAGGGTTACCGTAGAGCGGTCGCTCTTGTCCAGGCTCCCCATGCCCTCCCCTCCCCCACCCGGGCGACCCGACCCCGTTCCGGGGGTGCTGCACGAGAAGATTAATTGCTCGAGCAGAGCAAACAGGCTTGCAGCAAGCCTAGGAGCCCCGGTGCCCGCCGGGACCGGCTCCTGCGGGGCTCTCTCAGGCGGGCGGGCGGGGCAGCCGGCGGCCGGGGCGCAAGGCCGACCCGCAGACGCTGGAGACGCGGTAGAGAGAGAAACCTGAGAGCTCTGCGGCCCCGCCGCTGTGAGTTGAGCTTCTGATCTTCTGGAGCCTTGCCGCTTCGCAAGGCTTTCGGGTTTTTGTTTTGTTTTGTTTCCCTCCTCTCTGATCGGCTCTCTAGTGGAAACTCCTTTAAAAATGGGGCAGGAGGGAGAATTTTAGAAAAGCAGCAGCTGAGATGTAATCCAGGTACTAGCAGGTGGTGGGGATCTTTGCAGAAGGGCCTTGGCCCGGAGGGTTTGATTCAAATCCTAGCACTGACTCCCCTCCCCTGCCAGGTCCTCCGGCATCTGGTTAGGTAGGGGCTGCGAGGGGGTTAGGTCCACCGAAAATCCTGTTTGGAGCAGAGCCAGTTCTGTTTAATTAAATAAATACACACCCACTGTGTGCGGGACCTGTGCCAAGTGCCAGCCAGAGAACAAAACAAAACAACCAAAGGAAAAAATGTGTAAGATCCAGTCCCCACTGTCAAGGAACCCGAAGTCAAAGTGGAGCCAGACCCTTCGGTAAACGCCTGTGGAGCAGCATCTGTTCTAAAAGCCACGGTTTGGCAGTGTGTGCGTTATCCCCTCACCACTCACAATGTGGGCCACGCCAGCAGGAGCTTGCGAGAAATTCAGGCTCCAAGGTTCCAGCCAACTGAGTCAGGATGGGCCTTTTTAACTCGCCCCCACCCTGGAGACCAGTGTGCACATTCCCAGTAGGTCCCAGTGCCTCTAGCCCCTCCTCCTCTGGCCGGTTCCTCCTGGGCTGAGTAAGCAGGGGTCATTTCGCTTGTGTTAGTCTTTGGCACAGGGGCACAGGAACGAGGGACCTGAAGGGCCAGGGGAGGGAGAAGTTTCACTAATTATTTTCAGCATCCTTGTTTCGTGCCCACAAGGATACTGAAGGTGTGAACACAAGACTCATTGCAGTGGAAACTCCTGGAGAAAATGAAAGAGAAAAGGCTGGCGTTGTCGGCCTTGCAGAGAAGGGCCCAGGGCTCTGTGTTGTCCGCAGAGATGGCCCACCACTGAAGCTCGCCCTCCACGTTGGCGACCTGTGTACCAAGTAAGCCTGCCCTTGACAAAAAAGACACTTTTCATGCTTCCGCAGAATATTCATCTCATTGACTGGGCTGCACAAGGATGCACTTGTCAATAGCAAATAGAAGGCATAGGTCAGTCACGTGAAAGCTAGCCAACGGCTCTTGGCATGGCGTTGAAGGCCAAGGGCAGAGTAAAGTGGTAAAATGTTGTCAGCTTGTCCAAAAGCCAGCATTAGGGTCACACAGAGGAAAGCAACCCCAATGAATGGAATGGCGCCTCGTTGTTAGGACTTAGAATGGTCTCAAAACCTGTCTATGGAGTTCACCGGGAGCTGCTGGAAATGGGAACATTTGAGTCTGAAACAGGCCAAAGGGGTCATCAGCAAGTGAGTCTTGAAACATTAGCCAGCCCTTTAATAGGACACTTCTTCGCTCCGACACCTGTCACCTGCTTTCAGCTCGTAGAATCCTTGCAATAATTTCACAGGCACGAATGGACGACTTTTATTTGACAGTTTAAAAAGCAATCTGTTTGGAATTGTACTTTTTGCTTCGTTTAAACAGTGCCCATTACCAGACAGCCTCTGCGGAAGCTCCTGTGACTCACCCTGCAGACGGAAGAATCGGATTTTGTGTACTTTTCAGATTCAAAGCATTCAGGAGCATTTTCTAAGTCACCAAGGCCATTGGGGGCAAATGAAAAATGCAGCTCTAGGTTTCTCTTAGGCTCCAGGGCTGGCTTCAGGGGCACTGGGTTTGGAGTATCCCTCCTGCGACCAAATTTTCAACCAGCGTGACAGGAGGAGACTGTTCACACAGCCAGACAGTTTTCCCCTTCTTGGGAGGAAGGCTCAGCCTCAGCGATGGGTATAATGATGTTTTTAAAAAATATTTTCTATGACATAAAGAGCCTCACCATTTAGTTCGTCTTCTTACTCAGTGTTTTCAAGTTTGCTGGGGTGACCTTCTCCATGAACTCTACTTCCCCCTACCCTGCCTTCCAGATGCCTGGATCAGGCAGCACCAGCCAGGGCAGCCGTTCTCCAACTCCAAGGTGCATCAGAATCCCTGGGCGGGGCTTCTTAAAGCTCAGATGGCCAAGCCCCAGCCCAGGGTGGGGCCTGAGAACCTGTATTTCTAACACATTCCCAGGTGAAGCTGATGCCACCGGTCCAGGGCCCGCGCTGGGCTGGGTTATCCCCAGGTGACAGTAAAACCGCAAACATCTGCTTCAGGGCAGCTGAACACGCCACTTGGGTGCAGGGGTTGTTTCGAGCGGAAGGCAAATGAGAAGAAACACCTTCCAGAAAGGCTCTGCCCTTCCCCCACTCGCCTAAAAGCAGGACAGGAATTTGTAGAGATGACCCTCCTTCTCTCCCCACCAGGAAGGACAGAAGTCAACCACTGGTGACAACTCCAGGTCCTTCTCAGCCCAGAGGCAGCACCTGAGGACTCTAATAGACCTTGTTCAAGCTACTCCTTATCTACCAAGGTTCCCCATAGTCTTGCCTTCCACAATTTGCCCTAGTTGTCTTTTTCTTTTGTCGTCAGTTCTCTAAAGGACATATAATTCTTTTGTTAAGAGGCCATGTACACCCGTGGTCTCACCAACTCTGTGAGCTGCTCATCACTGGGTGCTCCCATGTGTGTGCGCGGCGCACACGTTAATAAACGTCTCTTTGTTTTTCTCTCGTTAGCATGTCTTTTGTGGGTCTAACTCACAGGGCCCCAGACAATGAACCTAAGGTGGATGAAGGGAAAATAGTATTCCCTCCCCTACGCTTGTCTATCCAGAGTGTGTGTTATGGGCAGATGCTCAGGACCCTGGGGGCAGCCACAGCCTCAAACATGGCAGCCCCCCCTGCCAGAGGGAGGAGGGACCTGCACTGGCGATTGAGTCCTCTGGCTGCAAACGATGTGCTCACCGCTGCTCACTGCATGTCGGCCAAGTCAGTGCGTGGTCCCACCAAACCACCAGGAGGTCGGGAAATGCTGTTCTTCCCCTGCCGGCTGAGACCTGACCTTTGCGGTGGACACCTGACGACGCCCATCGCAGAGCAAACCTTGCTCTCTTCCTTGCCCCCCGGGGCCTTTCCTGCCTGCCCCGCCCCGCTCCCCAGCACAGCTGATCCCGCTTTTTTCCAAGCGGCGTGCATCTCCCTTAGAGCGCTCCCTCGTCACATGGCTTTGGGATATGAATGAGGGTGTCTGTCTCCTCGCTTGCCTCCTGCGTCAGGGACTTGTCTTAGCCCCAGCTCTGAACAAAGTGTCCCAGCCCACTAGGTGCTTAATAAATGAAGTCCTTATGGAACGGATTAGTGATCGCATTTTGGCTACAGTGTGAAAAGGATAGAGAACGGCTGCCCCTGTTAGGTGGTGCCCGCTCTCCCATCTCCTCATAACCACCCCAAGTTCTCGTTCACCTTCACTGTCAAGGCCACCAGAGACCTGCAGGCACAACCCAGCAGGACCTGAAAGTTTTTTTTTTTTGATAGTTTATTTTTAGAGAGGGAGGAAGGGAGGGAGGGAGGGAGAGAGGGAGGGAAACATCAGTGTGCAGTTGCCTCTTGTGCAACCCCTACTGGGGACCTGGCCCGAAACCCAGGCATGTGCCCTAGACTGGGAATCGAACTACTGACCCTTTGGTTCGCAGGCTGGCACTTAATCCACTGAGCCGCCCCAGCCAGGGCAGAACCTGACACTCTTGAATGCACCCTTCTTACAAAAGCCACATCCTTGGCTTCCTTGACAGAGCACGCTCATGGTATTTCTCTTTCTTCTCTGGCCAGCTCTTCCCTGGGCCCCTGGGGACTCTGTTCTAGACTAACTTTTCTTGTCATTCTTGGAAGAGCTCGTCAGCTCTCTGGCTGAAATTACCACATTTTGCTGATGTGTTTTTGTACACATTATACACAGCATTATTATACCCATGGTATGGAATCATGTATAATGCACATCCTATCTTTCCCTCAAAAATTGGGGTGAAAAAGTACACATTATGCATGGCAAAATACAGCATTTGCTCCCTGGTGTTGACTGCAGCCTGGGGCTGGGGCCTCTTCAGTTCTGGCCTGCACATCGGGGCGCAGCCCACGCCAGGGCCCGGGCCTCAGCCTCGTCTTCCCGCCCCTCCAGTCCACTGCCACCTGGACCTCAGATCGGGCCATGTCCTGCTGTCCCCATTGACACCTTGGGTTCTGTCCCTCACCCAGGCCCTGCAGCAGCCTCCTTAACCAGTGTCTCTAACCCCAGTCTTTCTGTCACAGTCCTTTCTCCACCAGTAGCCGAATAATCTTCCTGAGGAAAGAAAAATCCGATTATGTTTGTTCCTTCCATAAACCCCTCTGGGACTCCCCGTGTCTCGCAGGCTAGACTGCCAGCCCCATGGCTCAGTGCACGGGATCCCGCATGCGGGAGTC